TTTTTCATCTCTGTGCAAAGATCAGTATTAGGACATCGCTGCTGTACCACAGACTTCTCAGAGCTGGCCCCTTTATCCAGCCCTCCCCAGTCACTGCACAGACTTCACTCCAAGCTGTTTCTGATAGAGTTCAGTAGCACATGGGTTTTAATCCTGGTTTTTCTTCATCTTCTCCTGAGCTGCCTCCAGACACGGTGTGTGGGCACTGTCTGACAGCAGCAGCATTAACGTCTCACCTCCCTGACACTGAGGTTCATGTCACAGCTTTTCATCAAAAGCAGCAAATAAATGATTCCCACGGGGTCCCACACAGCTCTGTGGGGACTTTGTGTGGCTGCACTTCCAGCACCAGCCCAGGTGCACAGGAATTTCAGGAGGAGATACAGAAGGAATCGGCCATTCACAGAGGAAAACATCACTTTGCATGGCCCAGATCCCCACAACACAGCAGACTCTGGTAACCCAGACTCTGCACTTTTACTTTCACCTCTGTGCCTTACTTTGCCTCTCACTAAACTCCTTGTCCTAGGGTGACTGTTATGGTGTTTGTATCTCCAATCGTGTGCCCTGTTTGCGTTTGATATTATGTTCTGTGCTTTCAGAACTGACTCTGAAAGTGAAGGTTTGTTTTGCCTTGTTATCATCTGGTTCACCTCCCCCCATGGTCTGCTGTCTAAAAAAGGCTAGGGCTGGCTGACTGGCTTTTGCTTTGCTTGCTTGCTTGCTTGGCTTGCTTGCTTTGCCTGCTTTCTTGCTTTGCTTCCTAGTTAGGTTAGCTAAGAAGTCCAATTCTTTCCATGGACTGTTGCTTTTTCCTTTCCTCTTTCTGAATACCATCCAACCTGCTCTGGACTGGGATCTGGGAAACACCAAGGAACACCAGGAGCCTGCATTTTGTGATCTGGAGCAGCCATCCCCAGTGCTGGAGAGCAATCCCCAATGCCCAGACCCGGGCGACCACTCCCAGGAAAGACTTTCTGGATTTGTTCAGCTCTTCAGAGGGGTGAAAGAGTTTTGTTGTCATCTGGTGTTGTTAATTGTTTTGGTGCTGGGGAGTGCTTTGTTCCTTGAATAAACAGGTTCTTTTCCACTTCCCTCTCAGAGGAAATTTTTCCCTGAACCAGGTGGGTGGGGAGGGGCCGTGGGGGTTTCCTGGGGGCTCCTTTCAGGGGGTTTTCCCCAAATTTGCCCTAAACTAGGACACCAATCCTGTTCCCACAACACCAGTTATTTCTCTTGGCACCTGTGTTTTAGAAGGGTTCCACTGTCGCAACCAGGTCGTCCAACCCTGGAAAGAAGTTTGCCAGAAAGGTGAATAAACTGGCTGAATTTCAGAGACATTGCTTTGCATTAGCAATTTAACTTCTTTAAGAGACCATGCCGAATTGAACAATATTTGTTGTTGGCCAGTTTTCCTGATTATATATGGTCCAGTTTCAAAAATTTCAGAAATTTTCACGCTAAGCATAACCGGTGGTTGGGTGGTAGGTGTCACAACATTAACATCAAGTCCTCCCCAGTATTTAAATCAATACTTTAAACTTAAAAGAAAGCACTTCAGTATTTTTTTCCAAAGACAAACTACTTCTGCAGTTTGTGTTAATGTGAAATTGTGCCAACAATCCTGTACGCTTTGGTGCCTACAAACCTTTTTGTGCTTAAAGAGATCTTTTCACTCTTTCCACATGCTCCCACAGTTATTTCATCCCACGACCCCTCAGCTGGTTTCTGACCATGGGGTTGTGGTAGGATGCAGGAAAGTATTACCAGTTTTGTCATGGATTAGGGGGTCTTCATGTCCCTCGGAGTTCTTCATAAAAGTAAACACAACAGAATCCTGCCAGCGAGAGGCAGAAGAGGTTAGAATGATGGAATTATCCTGCATGTATTTATCCAGTGCTCTTTCCCTAGAGCACCAGAGGCTTCCCATGCACATTTATTCAGAGGGGGTTTTAGCACAAGTGGTACCAGCCCTGTAGTAATGGACGTCCACCAGAACAGGTTGGCCAGGGTAATGTGCTGGATTATCAGGATCATTTGGTGCACAGCGTAGGAGTCAGTGTAGATAGAGACAAGAGAGGCGTTCTGTGCTTCTCGTTGGAAAACACTCCAGACAGCTCTCAGCTCCTCAACCTAAGAGCTGCTTTCTCCCTCAGTAATAATTAGTTCAGCAGGGGAAATGTGGGAGGCTGCTGCCCTGTATGTCCACACCTTCCCCTCTTGTTTGGCAGAGGCATCAGTGAACCAAGAGTTTGCTGATTTTTCAGGGGAGAAAGGAGGGGCCACTTTGATTACAGAGGCAGGTTTGTCCATGCTGCTATCCAAGCTCTCAGTTTCTTGTATTGCCAAATTTTTCACAGCTCCTTCTGTTATTGAGAAAAAGTGACAGTAATGTTCAATCTGAGCATACCACTTCCTTACCGAGGCTCTCTGGGCCACCCCATCAGGAGGGGGGGTTCCATCAGTGATCATCTTAATAACTTTGGAGGGGCCCCTCAGTACAATAGGTTGTTGATGTGTAATCTTTTCTACTCCAGTGAGAGCCAGGCTGACCACAAACAATCCCTTTTCCCAGGTAGTGTATTGTTTCTCTACATCTCTGAAACCACGGCAATAAAAACCAACAGGCCTTGTCGGCCCCTCGGGTCCCCACTGCCGTGTGTGTAGTGACAATCCTGAGACAGCAAATCCCCATTCTGCCTGAAAGGGGTCTGTAGGATGAACGGACCCAGAGCTTGATGAGCTGTTGCTTCGAAAATCAGCAGTTGCAATTCTTTCTCCTGAGAAGGAGTCCAATCCCATCCCACCCCTTTCCTCAGCGAGTCATAAAGGGGAACCAATGGGTTGTTCTGGTTACTAGGAAATCTGTCTGGTCTTTCTACAGGAGATACAGCTGCTGTAGTTTTCTGTAAGGTATGGCAGTAGGTTTGAGTGTTTCTGGAAGCCCACAAATTAAAGGGGTCATTATTTCAGGCTTCACAGGTGATTGCATCGGGGATTCAAAGCCAGGAATTAATTTCTTTCCATGAATCATTTGCAGACAAGTGGCTTTGTGCACACTTTCCAGGAGTTGGTCAGGGGTGCTAATTATAGCTATAGGATCTCCCCTTTCCAAGGGGCTTGTTCCCCCAGCCCAAAAAGCCACACGCTGTGTCAGGGACCACGAGTCACGTTTATCTCCTCTTGTTAAGAAGACACCGTGTCCCCAGTACACAGAGGAGTTTCCTTCTCTGTTTCTTTTAGTTTGTTGGTCAGCTTTGCATTTTTAATCTGTTCCTCTTTAAGGGCAGCTTGTAAAAAATTACTTTTATTCTTTTCTTCATCTAATTGTTTTTGCAAAATTTCAACTAGGTTTTGAAGGGAGTCTGTTATTGCATTTTCCTCACTTCTTCTCTCGAAGCGAGTTTCTACAGCTGCCGTAAGACAAGCTCCCAAAACTGAGCATAAGATGGTTTTATTTCTGCCCAGTTAAAATTTTGTATCATGTTGTAAAGAAGATATTCTATAAACCACATTATCCAAATTAAACCAGTTACTTTGTGCCCGTTCCTCCCCTCCCGGAGAAGGTTTGGCATTGTATTTAGCTAGTAAAGCATAAAATTCATCTTTAGCTTTAACAATAAGATTATTACTCATTTTGTGAAGGGACCAAAACCACAGCAGGGAGGTACAAACTTAAGTTACCAAAGCACACAGCCTTCGCTGTGTCGCCCTTCGCTTCCCTGGGTGGGTAAAGAGACAAAATCTGCCTGGGAGGCTCTGCTTAGTTTCTTCAAGTTGTCCCTTCCTCCCCAGACAGTCCAAACACACACATAAAACAACACAGTGCCCCTCCTTTTGCACTAAGAGATCTTTTGCAATTTCTGAAGACAGTGTGGGTGCTTTTCCACCTGTAACCTTCTGTTTAGACAAAAATCCTGTCTGTGACGCCAGTTTAATGTCACGATCTGCTTGTAGCGGGTGTCATGATGGTTCCTTAGCCGATCCCAAAGTGCAAAAGACAAAACAGCACGGGACTATCAGTTTAATCACAACAAATGCACCTTTATTAGGGGGCAGAACAATAAATGCCATAGTGGGGTCAGAAAAGAAATAAAAAGGATAGAGAGAGAGAGAGAAGGGGGGATGGGAATAGCTGCCAACACAGGCCAGATCCTCACTGGTCCGGACCATGGGGATCCGTCTTGTTGTGTTGGGGAGAGTCTCCAAAGTCCTGCTCAGCCCAGGGGTCCAGTTATAGTCCACAGAGGAAAAAGGGGGGAACATGCAGAGCAATGAGAGTCTACTGAAATTGCTGTGGGGGGGACAGGTGAATCTACAGAAAATCATCCAGGCAGAACAAACACAATGAAGAATAAGTCCATTGAAGTTACTGGAGCAGAACAGATCATGTCATTCTCCCCCCCACTCTCTGTGGTAGGGGTCTCAGTCTCAGTCCCTGGGAGAGGGTTCTCAATCTCTGTCTGTCACAGTGGTAAGGAGGCAGATGAGGGGTCTGCAGTGAGAGACCACCAGGGTCACCCCAACAGTTCATTCGGCTTGAAAGTGGAGAGTGAAGCAAGAATTGCAGCAGGCCGCCCTGTGCTGGGTCCACGCTGGGTCGTCACCAAGTCCCAGCCAAGTCCTTGCCAAGTCCTTGCCAGGCCTCGTTGGGAACAGCTGCCGCGATGTGCAGCGGCTGCACCTGTACTGTTGCCTCCTCCAAGCCAGAACTGCAGTGGGGGGTTTCTTTCTGGTGGCAATCGGCAGGCAAATGAGTGAGGGTCTTCAGACGGCCTCTTACAGGGGGTGCCTGGGTTGGGTTTTTTGGGGGGTGTTTGCAGAATGGAGAACTTCAAAGCTGAGCGGAAAAGACACCTTGGGGGGACACCAGGGGGTCCCGGTGGCGGCTGCTGGCAGAGGCATCCTGGAGGAGCAGAGCCCTGTGTCCCCCAGGACCCAGAGTGGGGAGCCCAGAGCCATTGGCGGGACCCCCAAGAGCCTGGAGAGTGGCAGGGGGGACTCCTTGGAGCCCCTGCAGCCCAGAGCAGGGAAGAAGGGGAGAAGGGAGCCCGGGAGCCCAAACAGCCCCGGCACCCCTGAATGGGGAGAGCCAAGAGGGGGGAGCTTTTGGGATTGCTGGGACTCCCGGCAGCCTGGGGAGGGCGGGCAGTGAGGAGAAGGGGGACCCCCAATCCAAGCGTGACCCCAGCAGCTGGGACAGGGGGGAGCCCCGAACAGCAAAGGGGAGGCAGCAGGGACAGGGAACTCCTGGGAGGCTTTTTCAGGGCTGGATCTCGGTGTTTGGGAGGTTTTTATGGAGCCCAGGTGGCCAGGGACTTGTAGAGATGGACTGGGACAGAGGGAGCTTCAAACTCATCGTGTTCATGCCTTCTTTTCCCCAAACCAGGATTTCCCATTCCCAGCCCCTGGGAGGCTGCGAGGAAGAGGAAGAGCCTCTCCTTGTCCTTCCTCCCCCAGAGCAGGAGCTGAGGATGGAGAGCAGGGAGGACAAATCCCCGCGGCAGAACCTGGTGGAAGAGGCCGTTTTGAGCGGCTCCACAGTACAGGAACCCGACTGGGAGGAAAAGCCCCGGAGATCCCGCACGAGGAGGGGCTGCAAACGCAGATCGCGGGGATCTGAGGGGGAAAGACCCACCCTGGGCCGGAGAGGCGGCCGGAGATCGAGCCAGAGCTCGGAGCTGGGGGTCCTTGAGCAGCTCCATGATGGGAAGAAGCCACACAAGTTCTCGGAGTGTGGGAAGAGCTTCAGGAGGAGGCCCGTGCTGATTCTGCACCAGAGGACCCACACTGGGGAGAGGCCCTACGAGTGTGGGGAGTGTGGGAAGAGCTTCAGCCAGAGTTCCCACCTGATCGTGCACCAGAGGACCCACACTGGAGAGAGGCCCTACGAGTGTTCAAAATGTGGGAAGAGGTTTCAGAGCAGCCCCTGTCTCCTCCGGCACTATCGGGTTCACAGGGAGGAGAGGCCCTTCTGCTGCCCCGACTGTGGGAAGGGATTCAGGGACAACTCCACACTCATCCAGCATCGCCGCATCCACACTGGGGAGAGGCCCTACGAGTGTGGGGAGTGTGGGAAGAGATTCTCAAGGAACTCTCACTTGACCCGACACCAATGGAGGCACCGGTAAGGGAAGCCCTGCGAGTGCCCCGAGTGCGAGAAGAGCTAAACTCCATCCCCCACTGGAGAACCCACATTGGGCACAGCCCTGGTGACCCACATTCCCTGTGATCCATGTTGGGAACACTCCTGGCTGCTTCTCCTTTTGTGTTGACCTTCATTTTTTTCTCTTCTCAATCTCTCTGCACTCCAAAAGCCAAGAGGGATCGATCTTTCACCTCAAAACCACTCACATCCCACTGAAAACAAATGAATTTTAACCCACAGAGGCTCAATCCCACCTCAAATTGCTTGTTCCCACCTCAAAAAAACCAATCCCACACCAAACTCACTCGAATCCACAGCTCCCAGGGTGAGATGGGTTTGGGAGGAGATTGGGAGAAGTGGGATCCCAATTTGGAGCGGTGAGATGGGGATTGTGTGGGGCTGGGTGGCTGGGATGTATTTGATAGCAAATAAAACTTTCAGACTTAGTGATTTCTTTGCCGTTCATCTCCAGTCTGTGGCAGTTCTGTTTTTCAGGGCACCACCTTCTCAGCTGATTGTGTTTGTGTCCTCCTTTCCCTCCCACCTCTCTTTGCCTGCTCTGTTTCTCTCTCCGTGTCTCCCTTGACCCAGGGGACCTCCAAAGACCCTCCCCCAATTTAATTTCCTCAGGGACCACCAAAGATCCTTCCCTGATTTAATTGAATCCTCCTCTAATTTAATTGCCCCTCTGCCCCCAATGACCCACCCCTGATTTTTTAATTATTTTATTTCCCAATTATTATTTTAATTCTTAGTTCAGGAGCTGAAGTTATGGAGGCCAGCAGTGAAATGTCTCTGTAGGATTTTGCTCCACTTGGCTTTCAGCCCCTTCTCAAGAGCTTTGCCTTCGAGGGCAAAGGGAATGTCTTTTCCTGGCTGGGAGCTGAAATTCCAGACCTCTGGAATGTGTGCAGGGCCATATAGACTGGGATCAACCAGAGATTGGGATCAAATATGCACTGAGATCCTGTGGTCTAGGATCAGCTAAGGACTGGGATAAATTAGGGACTGGGGCCCTACAGACTGGAATGAACTGAACTGGGATCAAATACGGACAAGGATCAAACATGGACTGGGATCCTATGGACTGGTATCAACAAGGGACTCGGATAAAATAGGGACTGGGATCCTACAGACTGGGATCAAATTGGGACTGAGATCATATGGACTTGGATCAGCTGGAGACCTGGATCAACTACGGACTGTGTTCAAATAGAGACTGGGATCAGATGTGGATTGGGATCCTATGGACTGGGATCAAATATAGTCTGGGATAAAATTGGGACGGGGATCAGATATGGACTGGGATCAAATATAGTCTGGGATAAAATAGGGACTGGGATCAAATATGAACTGGGATCAAATAGGGACAGGGAACAACTAGAGATTGGGATCAAATATGGAACTGGGATCCTATGGACTGGGACAAACTGGACTGGGATTATATGGAATTGAGATCCTATGGAACAGCATAAACTTTCTAACATGACACATATAATATTCATTGTAACACTTGCGAAAAGCCAATTATAAATATGCATTTGTCACAATCTCTCCTCTTATTCTTTATAAATCATTTGGCTTGAGCAATATTTCTTATCCTCTTGCATTCTTTGGACTCTGTTGGTAATCAAATAAAACATGGGATTAAACAAAGAAGAAATATCAAAACACTTGTAACACATAAAAGGAAGAATCCTAATTTCTTCCACCATCCCATTCTCAATACATTACCCCACCTGTTAGTTTTTAACATTATTTTCCCTTCGGTGTTTTTTTTTGGACTGATACCAGGGTCATAATTTTTTTCTGATATCCTTTGTTTTTCCAGGATGACGCCCTCATTGCCATCTATTTTCAACAATCTGTACACCCCATTCTTTAGCCAATAAATAGCATAAAGCCAACCTATTTTAATACACTGCAGTTATAGTTTGGCTTTGCTGACTCAATATTAATTCCAGTGCCTGAGCAGCTTTGTTTGTTATCTCCTCTATAACTGCTTGGAGTCCTATAATACAATGCAGTATATAATTTGGGGTTAATACAGAGCTAGATTGCTGTGCTGGTTTCACCCTTTTGTTTACTAATTGCCTTTTTACCGAATCTTGGACTATATCTCTAAGATCAAGTGTAAAACAAATCCATCTCTCTCCTTTTGGACATTCCATGCCCCAAGTATTACTACTTTTTCCTAAGTTCCTTGTAATCCAATATTTTTCCCCATTTTGCCTGCAGGTACTCAGTTTGGGTGGGTCTGTGGCTGTTGACATGGGTGTGTGTAACAAAAAGGAACTTTGGTTCCTTTCCGTGTAATACTTTCTGTAGCATTTGGGACACGATCTTGCTGGTATCTCAGAAGGGAAAAGACAACAAATGAGAGACAGAAACAGGAATGACAGAGGTCTGGCATGGCTTATACCCCCACCTCCCCTGCCTGTGGGGTTGCTTCCCACAGCAGGTACGTGTGATCTTCTCGGTGGTGAGCACAGTGCTCAGTCCAGGCTTGCCCTCTGCTTCCCTTGTCACTCCTTTTTACTCATTTTTTTAGGCAAGTCCTTTTCGACACTCCTTAACTGTGGTTTCCCACTGTTCCTCAGGTATCTCTCACTCAACAGGCACTAATAATCCATCCACAAAACAAAGTTATTACTTCAGTTGTTTTGGGTTCTATCTGTATAGGGAATTGATTCAGTACTGATACCTCTTGCAACGAGAACATAGATTTTGTGAACTACAATGCCAATTATTCTCATAATTTAAACATTCATTTATAGCCCAGCTGCCATGTCCAATATGAGGATGAATCACATAAAGTATACAGTATAGTACTGATGGCAATTTCCCTTCTTCCCTGTACAAGCCACAGGCTGAGGCCAGGCTATGAGAACTCTTTGACTGAAACACTCCCGATCCTCCTGTTTGAAGTGGCAGTGTTCCTCTGCCAAGGAGGTGTCGGAGGCGTCTCAGGGTTTATTCAGGCAGGGCTTAGAACCAGTGATGCAAGCTTTGCCTTATTTCTCAGTGAGGTGTTATTCTTTGTACCTGCCTTGGATCATTTGGGTCTTCCCAAACCATTACCACCCAGTCCTGGTTGGAAGTCAATTTGGTATCACCCGGTTTAGATGTGATAGTCCATTCCTCAAGTTTCCTCACAAGTCCTTTGGTTTTGCTGGCATGAATTCACCCTCTTTCCGTGGTTTGGATTGCTGCTTCAGTGGTACCTGGAAAGGATTTCTTAATAGCACAGTGTTAAAAGAAAAACAATACTGCATGAACTTTTACCATTAGTTTTCTTTAAAACTTTCTGAGTTTAACTAAACTCTTTTTCTACATCTGCCGCTTCTTCTTGTATCCAGCTGTGTTAATAGCTGCAGAGACCAATTCTTCTTCCTGTGAGCTATAATTAGTTAAATAAAAAAGACCAGGCCAATTTTAACATGAGATGTATCACATCTCTTGCCTTTTACTTTTTGGGTAACATTTAACTGTTTTAGTCTTACAGACTTTTAGTCTTCAGAACAAAAGCCTTCTCTTCTTAACAACAGCAATCAGAAAGAAAAAAGAAATCTTGCTTAAGACAATAAACCACTTTGTGAGAGTCACAATCTCTGCCTTGATCTTATCTCTACTGGTGGTCCTGTTCACAGCCTTGGGTTTAACTCTGTCCTTCCCCACTTCCCCCCCTCCTTGTTGTCACTCTGCCTAGCAGGAATGGGGGAGAACTTACAGATAGCTGTGGCTGAGGGGACCTTGGGGGTGTATTTCGCTCTCCCCTTCGCTCTCTTTCTCTCTCTCTCTCCCTTTCTCTCTCTTTCTCTTTCTTTTTCTCTCTTCACATTTCAGCAGCCACATTCCAATATCAGTCCACTTTCTAACATTAATCCTACATCCTGGAGAGGTGAGTCTGCCAATCACCTCTCCCCCCTTTTTCAACTTCCTTACAAAGTAAATTACTTTTGTTATGCGTGTTCTGCAGGCCTGTAATTCACGGCACCCTCCACCAAGGCTACCAGCCACTCACAGCTGACAGTGCAAAAATAAAGACTTGGTTTGCTATCACAATTTTTCCATTCACAAGCTTGAAAAGGTTGCAGGAACAAAGTAAACAACAACTTACTTCCAAAGTGACCCTGCCTGCACCAAAACAAATTTAAGGCAATGCTAGTTAGTGCAATGCAATTTGCCACGAAGCCAAGGTTTGATTTGGGAAGGCCATCTGAGGACACAGAGCATGAGTTTTACAAATCTGTATTTTGAAGAGGGAATGGACAAAATATGAATAGAGTTGAGGGCAGGGGGAGGACAGCAAGTGAGGAATTTTTCTCTGCAATACTCTCTTTTCGACTGCCAGGAAACACTCTAACACTCTCTCCAAGGAGATAAAGAAAAGCTCATAAAAAACAATCTACATTACATATACTACCATTCATCTACATTTACTCACTTTTATTTTTCACTAACTCTCACATACAACAAGAAGATACTTTTTACTTTCAAACAGTCTACATTACTTATCTACACCCTGAGTGCTGTTGGAATGTTAATCCCTCAACCCAGCAGGTTTGAATCCTGGATGCTCTTGGGCACTCTTATCCCTCAATCCGGCACTCCACGGGGTTCCTCTTCTTCCTAAGATCCAGTCCCAGTTTCTCTGGGAGGGATTCTCTCTTTTTTATCACTCCCTTGGTCTCTTTACTGGCCGTTTTTCACATGAAAAAGACGAAAAGCAGCATGAGAGACTACAGCAATCACTTGGCAAGTCTGGGATAACCAGCAGCTTCTGTCACACACATTCATTCCCCCCTTATCCGCCCCATCCCAACAAATACTCACCTATCCTTTGTCCTTGGGTCTTGGTTCTTCGTGTACACTTTAGTCTTGGGGCTAATTACTGTGGTTTTAGGGAATGCTTTCCCTTTTCTTTGTTTTATTGTCTCCTTTTGCCCATAGATCATAACCTGTGTCTGGTCACACACCAGGGGAACAGAGCGAGGCTGCCTAAATAGGGCAGGACCCGTCTTCCTCACCCTGACTCTCCCAAGGCCCCAGCAGAGAGGTGTTAAAAACCATCCTTTGCTACCATAATTGTGAAAAACGCCAATCACTTGGCTGTTAAATTTTTAATAATAATAACATGGTTATTAAAATAGTAATACAATTAGAGTAATAAAAATTTAGAGTTAGGACAATTACAAGACAATAAAAAGCAAAGAATTAAGGATGTCCAGATGCTCTGGGGCACTTAAGCCACAACAAGCATACCTTGTGAACAAAGGAATCACCCTTAAAACTACACTCTTGCATATTCATATATACTTCATGGTTATGCATACATTCTATTTAAAAAAAGAAACAATCTATGTCAATTGTTTCCTTTATTCCCCATGGCATCTTCGAGTCTGAGCAAGGCCTGAAGAAATTAGCTTCTTCTGACAAGAAAACCATAAATTCCTCTTCTCCGGAAGATTTAGGTGTTCTGTGATGGTTACCTCAAAGTGAGTATTTCATTCCTTAAAAAAAAAACAAAAAAAAAAAAACCAACCACATACATAGTTTCTCTTTTAACTACTAAAGCTTCATTTTAACCACAAAACTAAATTTACCATACTATTAAAATGTTAATACAGTACTACTAATAAAGCTAACATAATACATATAGTAACTATCCACAACGAGCCATATAATATGTGTTTTTAAAGTTGGGTGTCTTCTGGATTATCCCCGGAAAGGGCCGATCTCTGCACAGAGACATGTTTTTTCATTTGTAAATGAGGTCTTTCTTCCTCTGTCATCTGTGGTTTCTGCAGCCCCGGCTGTGGCTTCTGGTCATTTAAATCTTTAAGAATCTTTCTGTACAAGCACAACTGACTTCATGTATATTTTATATAAGCACGAATTATTCCATAACATATATTACAATGGGGCTGCAGAGATCCCCCTGCAGGTCCGTGGGGATGCAGAGATCCCCCTGCAGGTCCGTGGGGATGCAGAGATCCCCCTGCAGGTCCGTGGGGATGCAGAGATCCCCCTGCAGGTCCATGGGGATGCAGAGATCCCCCTGCAGCTCCGTGGGGATGCAGAGATCCCCCTGCAGGTCCGTGGGGATGCAGAGATCCCCCTGCAGCCCCTGCAGGAGCCAGGCTGGAGCTCGGCGATGCCTGAGAGGAGGCTGTGACCCCGTGGGCAGAGGGGCCCCGCTGGAGCAGCCTGGCCTGGCAGGACCGAGCCCGTGGCACAGTGACCCACGCTGCAGCACTTGGAGGGGGCTGTGCCCCAGGGGATGGACTCGGCTCGGAGAAGTTCCTGGAGAAGTCTCGGCTGGGAGAGAGCGCAGGGTGCAGCAGGGAACGACTCCTGTCCCTGAGCAGAGGGAGAAGCCGCGGGGGATGAGCTGAGCACGGCCCCATTCCCTGTCTCCTGCCCTGCCGGGGGAGGAGGTGCAGCTGGGAGCAGGGAGGCGTGGGGAAAGCTGCATTTAAGGCTCTGCACTGACTTCTCCTCATCCTGCTCTGAGTCTTTGGAGTTTTCTGCCAGAAATCTCTCCCCTCCCCCGCTCACCCACAGGGCTTTGGGCAGGTTTCCCTTTTTGGGGGAAATGAAAGCGAAGCACCGATGCACTAATGAGGGGCAGGAGAAGGGAGGCTCCCGGGCTTCCCGCAGAGCCGGAGGCACGGAAGGCGCAGGGCCGGGAAAGCCGTGGCGGGAGGTGCGGAGAAGTTTGTTTGTGTGGGCAGCTCAATCCCGCCTCGGGCCCGGGCCCGTCCCGGGGCTGTTGCTCATCTCCGGCTTTGCCCTCACGCAGCGCGGGGGGCCCTGAGAGCGCGGGGCGAGTCTGGGCCGTGCGCAGAGCCCGCCCCCAGCTCGCTGCCATTGGCCGCTGGTGCCGTCAGTCGCGGTTGCGGCGCGCTGATTGGTGGGAGCGGGGCGCAGCACGGCCCCGGCGGCGGGCTGAGGGCGGCCGTGGGCGGGCAGCGGCGCCATTGGCGCCGGGAGCGTCTGTGCGGGCCCGGGAGCGGCGGCAGCGGCCGGAGCGCGGTGAGGCGGCGTCGGCGGAGCTCGGAGGCGGCCCCGGCGCAGGTGGGAGCCGCGCTGGGTTCTGCGGGGGCTCGGGGCTGGCTGCGGGCGGAGGGGGCGGCAGGGGGCTGCGGCGGGTCGGTGGTGCCGTGTCCGGCCCGTGCCGGCCCCGGGCTGAGGGCGCGGCGGGAGCGGCTGCCCGCGGTCTCCTTCCCGCCGGGGCCTGGGCAGGAGCCGCTGCCGGAGCAGCGCTGGCTCGGCCCGGCTGCTGTGGGTAGGACCGAGGGGGCTGCCCCGCGGCCGGGAGCGTGCGGGGAAATTCCCGTCGCCGGAGGTTTCTGTGGCCGGAGGAGAGCGAGGAGTCCTGTAAAAGTGACTTTATTGCCGAGCAGGGGGAGAGGCCGTGGGGCATTTGCCGTGCGCTCTCTGCCGTGGTTGTAGTCCGCAGCCTCCTTTTTATCCTCATTTTCCCGGCCGCATCTCCCTCTGCCTTTGCCCACGGGCTGAGGTCCTTGGAAGGTTCAGACTTCCCGATGCGCCTGCTGCCTGTCCTCGTTAATATGCACCCTCCTTTTGTATACCAGCCGATATTCATGGCTCTGTTAAGTCTTTGTTCTCCTCGAAGTTCGGGAATGTAGCGGGACTTTGAGCAGCTGTCTGGGTCAATTTTTGACATTTATTGGAACTGAGGGTTTCTCCCGTAGCTTCCTTATCTACAAGTGCCTGGCTCTCTCTCCAGGCAGATTCACTCCTTGACTCTGTTTTGTTCTTCCCGGGTCCTCTTTGGTTTTGGGATTATTCTCGGTGCCCTCATTCCCTGTCCTTTTGTAGCCGTTTGTGGATCAGGAGGCCTGGCTGCCACCTGCATCCCCTGGCTCAGCTGCTGGATGAGCTGCACTGCCAAGGTGTGGAGCATGGTAAAAAGATGAGAGTTGCTGCAGCACAGAAGAGGAGAAGCAGCATTCGTTTAACCCCTGGTGTGCCGGGGAGACACGAAAGCGTGTCCCATTCCCATCCTTTCCATGTTTGGACCAATACATAAACTGCTCTCCTATTTCCTTTGTTATCTTTCTCAGGACTTTACCTTTGTCATCTCTTTGCCAACAGCAGTTTGAGCCATTTAGTTTTGCCCAAACTCCCTTTTTTTCTGCTCACAGATAATCTGATCTCATCCCCTGGTGAAATGTTGTGTTCCTCTTTCAGTGGATTGGTCGGCAGGAAGTTCAGGAGCTGGAGCTGTCTGGTTGGTTCATCTTTTGAGGACAGCTTTTAATCTAATGATGCCATTGAAATGATAAATGGGTTCTCTGCCTCCTGATAGGAATTGGTTTGGGTTCCCAGGGGCTGGTCCATGGTGTTGTAGGATTTGTTCTGCTGGCCCTTCATGTTTTCGTCATTTTTGGGTGCTCCCTGCAGCCGGGGCTGCATCAATTGACCGCATTTTTCTAATTACATAATCAAATACTTGAATTCCAACTAATTTCCCTGGACTTGTTCTAGCAAAAGCCCCAGTGCTCTGATACACCCTGTACAGCACAGACAGTGGCAGCAGATGTTGGAGTGGGCAGGGGGATTATCCCCCCCCCCTTATTTTAATGAAATTTTCACAACATTCTCCATTTGCTGTTTCCCTTTGCAGCCTCAGCCATTTCTGTTTCAGAGTCAGATCCTCACCATGGGCTCTGCCTTCAGCCGTGCAGATTCCATCTGTGCAAGCAGGCAGAGCTTGGGGTGAGGGGCAGAGGGAATCAGCCAATTCCTGCCCCAGGCAAGAAGAGCCAGGTACATTGTCCCCACTCTGCCCCATCAGTGTTAATTTGCATTTCTAAAGCTCCTCCAGGGTGCCTGGAATGCAGCTTCTCTTCCAGAGCAGCTTCAGCAGCCTCACATGTGCCCCCCCCAACCTGCTGTTCTTTCTTGGTTTTTTTCTTTCAAATCTTCTATTTATTTTCTTTTCCTTCAAATCTTCTATTTATGAGTTAAAGGGTCACCTTTAAATCTCTTCTAGCTTCACAAAATGTTGCCTAAAGGTGAACGTCGAAAAACCCAGACCAAAATTTTTCTATCTCTAAGAGCCACACACAAACATACACAAAAAATTTCCAAGTCAATGAAATTTTTTCTACTTCTCCTCTAAGTAAAATCTCATTCTCTCATCCCTGACCCAAACCCAACCATCAATATAGAAGTAGGAGTAATGTAAAAATACTCTAATGCTCCAAACTTAGCACTGAAACTGCAGGAAAATAAAAACTCTACCACTATGTCTAGTGGAAGAGTCAAGGCATTCCTTGATTCTGGCCAGGATGTGCAACAGAAATCATTCCATCCCCACATAGCCCGGGTGTGCAGAGAAAATTGTTCCATGATGCGTAAAGTATCAGTAAAATATATTGGAGTATATAAAAAATAAAATACTATCAGAGTAAAAGCTCCGTGGCTTTTACTAAATTTTTCCCAAACTTGATAAAGTCAGAACCAGTCTAAATCCACTGGTTTAATGTTCCAAAGTTTCAAGTTGTGCAGTTTTTAGTATTTGGTTTCCTCTTGGACCCGGATTTCTTTGCTTCTGCTGTTAATGAGGTGGGAAGTGCTGGATTTCCTTCTCAGCCTTTTGCAGACCAGGTGTCTGCAGCCCTGGCAGTGTCTGGGGTAGGTGTTGGTTGCTGTTTGCTGCTGGGGTTGATGTTTTGCTGCTGGGTGTTATCTTTGTGGGTATCTTTTGGGCCATTCCCAGTGTGTTGAGGTGTTAAACTCATCTCCATTGAGTGGTGTAACATCCCTTAACAAAACCTTTAACATTTCTTTCCCCAGGGCCAAGGCAAAGCAAGCCTGAGTAGAGAAATGAAAGGTTAACAATGTTAAAGTCTATGAGCTGGTGTATTTTCCATCAATGCCATGGCAGGCAGGGCAGTGTGTGAGTGTAAGTGAGAGCCAGAGTGGAATTGTCCCGTGCTCTTGCCCAGCAGCTGTGGCAGGGCAGGCCCAGAGAGCGCTGAAGCTGCAGCAGTGGCAGCAAGGGCTGTCCCCGGTGGCTGGAGCTGCCAAAGGAGGGTGGCCAGGCCGAGGATTTCAGCAGAGGATGTGTGGGCCGATGTCCTGCTGGGATGTTGGCAACAGCAAAGTGCCAAGGCAGGCTCTGTGCCAGCCCAGCTTCCTGGGGGAGAGATGGCACCAGAGACAGGATTCTGGCCACAGACTGCTTTAAATGTGCATCCCTTATCTCCACCCTGCACTAGGTGGAGAATTCCCAGGGTAAGGAATTCCCCAGATCAATTCCAAGGGGAAATAATTGAATATCTGCCCTGGGTCTGGCTCTTCTTCTTGCCCAAGCCAATGGCAAAAGCCGTACCCATGGCATCTTGGTTTCTATCCCCAGCTTCCAAAGGTGCTTTGGTTTTATGTGGCAGCTGAATCTTTATGTTTTGGAGGAGGTTTTTGCTGAGTTGTGATGTTTGGGGAGTTTTTGATCTGTATCTCTCAGTTTGTGGGATTTTTGGGCTGAATCTTGGTGTTTTGGAGGTTCTTACAGACATAAGATTCCCAATGACTTCCTGAGATGAACTGGAGCAAGGAGGAACTTCCAGTCCAAGGTACTCTCCTCTTGTTTTTTTCCCCAAACCAGGATTTTTCATTCCCTGGGCGTGTCTGGATGGAGGAGGAGGAAAAGCCCCGGAGATGCTGCAGGAGGAGGAGCTGCAAACCCAGCCCAGGGAGCTGCGGGGAGGAAAGAGCCCCCCTGAGCCAGGAAGGCGGGCGGAGATCCAGCCGGAGCTCGGAGCTGGTGGAGAAGCCTCATGGCAGGGAGAAGCCCCACAAGTGCTTGGAATGTGGGAAGGGTTTCAGCCGGAGATCCAGCCTGATCGTGCACCAGAGGATCCACACTGGGGAGAGGCCCTACGAGTGTGGGGAGTGTGGGAAGAGGTTTCGGACCAGCTCCCATCTCCTCCTACATGAGCGGAGTCACACAGAGGAGAGGCCCTTCCGCTGCCCCGACTGCGGGGAGGGCTTCAAGCACAACTCCAACCTCACCGTGCACCGGCGCATCCACACCGGGGAGAGGCCCTACGAGTGTGGGAGGTGTGGGAAGGGTTTCAGACACAAGTCTGGCCTGATGGCACACCTGGTGATCCACACTGGGGAACGGCCCTATGAGTGCTTGGAATGTGGGAAGAGCTTTGGGCGGAGCTCAGGTCTGAGAACACACCAGCGCATCCACACAGGGGAGAGGCCCTACGAGTGTCCCCAGTGTGGGAAGAGGTTTCAGACCAGCTCCAATCTCCTCCTACATGAGCGGATTCACACAGAGGAGAGGCCCTTCCGCTGCCCCGACTGCGGGAAGGGCTTCAACCAAAACTCCAGCCTCACCGTGCACCGGCGCATCCACACCGGGGAGAGGCCCTACAAGTGTGGGGAGTGTGGGAAGAGCTTCTCCAGGAGCTCAAACTTGACCCAGCACCAACGGAGGCACCACTAAGGGAAGCCCTGTGAGTGCCCCGAGTGAGGGAAGAGCTTGGAGTGAGGGAAGAGAGTGAGGGAAGAGCTTGGAGTGAGGGAAGAGAGTGAGGGAAGAGCTTGGTGCGCTGCTCCAGCTCCATCCCCCATGGGAGGATCCGGGCTGGATGATCCCCAGTGACCCCCGTTGGGCAGAGCCCTGGTGCCCCCGTATGGGGAATAAAACAGAGAGTAAAGCAATGGAGCTGATAAAGGGGCCCGATATCTGAGGCCTGACTGAGCAGAAACTGTGGGAGACACAGACACAGTTTAAGTCTCCCTGGGCAAGAAGTGACCGAGCAACGTGGTGTGAGACTTTGTGATAAAATAATGTTACCAGGTGATGTCATGTCATGAGGAATGTGTAACCAATGGGAAATTGTACCAAAACCAGAGCCCTATATAAGCACCCTACAAGTAAATCCCTGTATAAACACCTGGTACACACAATAAAATTGGCTTTGGTCTAAACTCGTTTATCCAACTGTCTCTCCTTGGTGGATAACCCTGTTGTGGGTGATCCCCGTTGGGTGGGGGGAAGGTGTTGGAGGGATTTCTTTCCCTTCTCCTCGTGCTGCCGTGGTTTGGTTGGTAATAAATTCCCTCCCTGTGCCCGGGCTGGGTCTGTTGTCCCCGTGGTTTGGTAATTAATAAATTCCCTCCCTGTGCCCGGGCTGGGTCTGATTTATTAAAGAAATATGGATATTGATCTAGTATCGATATCCAACTGTGACGGACAAAAACTCTCTAACAGTTTAGAGTTGGAAAGTGTATGTTTATTCTGTGTGGGGTCACTCCCAAATACACACCGCACCCTCCAGATGATTACAGAGTCTTTTTATCCATACAAGTATTGAATATACAAAATACAAATGCATATTCATAATTTTGGTACATCCCATTCCCCGCTTCGTATGCTAATCACTCCAAAAGCTATTAAGCATGCGTAGTTTGTCCCTTGAAATGGGTCGGTGGTCCCTTTCATGGGGAGGGGTCCCAAAATGAAGAAGTAAATGAAGTCTTCCTCGTTCTGACCTTTCTACCTTTTCAATGCAAGTATGATAAATGAACTCTTGGTAGAACTCCCATTCCTTGTCTTCAATTGGTTTCAGAACAGAGGAGGCCACAATTGTCTTATGTTCCTAAAAGCTATTTATCAGTTTCTATATTCTTCATTATAAACCCAGCTAACCAAACATTGTGCTGACAAGCAATTAATTATTAGTTAACTACTAACTCCTAACTTCATCAAGGCCTACTCATTTATTATTCTTATTTTAATTAACTTTAGTAAGGCTTATTTCTAACTAAAATCTTAGCTCCTCAAAATCTCTAAATGCCTTAAAGTTCACGTTTCAGGTCTGTTGTCCCCGTGGGTTTGGTCGGTAATTAATAAATTCCCTCCCTGTGCCTGGGCTGGGTCTGTTGTCCCCGTGGTTTGGTAATTAATAAATTCCCTCCCTGTGCCCGGGCTGGGGGGTCCACAGGGGTCAGGACCCCCCAAAAACTCTCACAGACACCCAATCCCCTCCAAGTACCTTCCTGGTCCCTCCCAGCCCACTCAGGATCCCCCGAAACCTCCCTCTTCATCCCTTCCTCACCTCACCAGGACGCACCAAAGCCCCTCCTGTCCCTCTCAGCATCCCTGAGTTTATTTAATAAGAATAAAGTTTAATAATTAGAGTAATAAATTAACAATTAGAGTAATAAAAATTTAAGAGTTAGGACAATTACAAGACAATAAAAAGCAAAGAATTACAGACGTCCGGACGCTGTCTGTGAAAAACGCTGCGAGGCCTTTCCCGTGAAACAGGGAGGGCATGAAGGAGGAGAAAAAGGACAAAACACACCCAATTTCCTCCATCTTGTCCCCTCTGAACCCCTAATCTAGAAACCTAAAATTTTACTTTTGCACTCGTGTCACACTTAATTATTACTCGTATCAAACACTCAGAGCTTGTAATTCATCCTGTAGGATTGAAAACTCTTTTCCATGGACAGAGATCAGAGACAGTGTCTCTGGGGGCTCTGTACAGGGGGTTCCTGACCCCTGCCAGGGTCCCAGACCTGCCAGGGCAGCCAGAGGGAAGCCCTGGATTCCCACACTGTGGAGCTTCTGTCTTCCTCTGTCTCTCCTTCCTCTCCTTCTAATGCTCTTTATATGGAACATTTTTGGGTACCTGAACAACTTAAGCCTTTAAACCTTTCCAGACTAAATGGGCTGAGTGAATGAAGTTACTCCTATGACAAGTGATTTAAACTGGATTGGTTTTGTATTAAATGCTTTTCCAAAGTTTCTTGTTCTTCTGTACTTTGCCAGTGAAATTTTGGGGGTCCTGAATGGGCGCTGAGGGGCACTTGGGGATCCCGGAGGGTCTGGGGGACACTTGTGGGACAGATGGGGGCGGATACCGAGGGTCTGTGGTGCGCGGGGCATGATGGGCGTTGTAGTCCCGGCTTTAAAGGGGCTCTATGGGGCCGCAGAGCATGACGGGAGTTGTAGGCAAAAGAAAAGATGGCGCAGGCTCCAGGTACCGCCCCCAAGGCCATAATCCCTGGTGCTGATTGGTTGGCGGCTGTGATGGGCGGGAGCCTCAGCAAATGGGAGGCAGCAGAGGCGGGAACAGCCCATTCAACCCCTCCAGTCTCTCCCAGTACAGCCCAGTACATCCCCCGTGCCCCTCCAATCCCTCCCAGCACAGCCCAGTTCATCCCCAGTACAGCCCAGTACAGCCCCAGTGCCCTTAAAATCCCTCCCAGTACAGCCCAGTTCATCCCCAGTACAGCCCAGGAGAGAATTGGAGGAGCAGGTACGAATCCTACACCCAGGGAATGTGCCCCAATAGTGTTTGAACCTCAGCAAGGACAATGCACAGCAGCGACACAGCGCAGGGGATTCCTCTGCCAGTGTGCAGGAGTCAGGACTCTGGATCTGGGCTCAACACTGCAAAGTTCCCGTGTTTGGACAGATGAAGGAGCTGTCCCCGGGGCGCGCGGGGCTCGGCCGTGGGGCGAGCGGGGAACGGACACGCGGACAAACGGCCTCGGTGCTTCAGTTGCAGAGGCAGCAGCGGCGGCGGCGGCAGCAGCGGCGGCAGCAGCGGCAGCAAAAGCAGTTTTTCTCTTCTTTCTCTTTCTCTTCTTTCTCTTCTTTCTCTCCCGCTGTCCTCTCGGTGTCCCTTACCCGCTGTCCCTCCCCTCTCCCCGCCTCCTTCTCCCCCATGCCGGGCCGGGCCATGCCCCCGGCCCGCCCCCGGCCCCGGGCGGGGCTGCCCCGTCCCCGTCCCCGCCCGCCCCGCCGCGGTCTCGCCTCCGCCCGGCTCTGGCTGTGCTGGCGGTGGCGCTGCTGGGCGGGCATCAGTGCCTGGGGCTGGGCCCTTTGGCTCCGCCTGGCCCGAGCCCGGCCCCGGCCCCGGCGCAGGCTCCGGCCCCGGCCCCGGCCCCGGCCCCGGCTCCTCCCGGGCCCCGCGGAGGACACACGCGGCACGGCCGCTGCCGCCTCCGCCGCGGCTTCCCCGGCCCGAGCTCCGCCGCTGCTCAGCAGCGCGGCCGCCGGCCCCGAGCCTCCCGTGTCCCGTTCCCGAGACCGAAGGCCTGGGGATGGCCGGCCCGAGGCGGTTGAGGGGCGCTCGGGGGCCGCTCCTGGCCCCGGGCCGAGCGCTGACAGCCGCGTCCCGCCCGCAGGGAAGGCGCAGGAGGCGCTGCAGCAGCGGTACCGAGTGGGTTCGCTGCTGGGGCGCGGCGGCTTCGGCAGCGTCTTCGCAGCCACGCGGCTCTCGGACGGTGCCCCGGTGAGTGGCGGGGCCGGCGGCGGGCGCAGGAGGAGGAGGAGGAGGAGGATGGAGGAGGAAGAGAAGGAGGAGGCGGAAGGAGGAGAAGGAAGCAGGAGGATGGGGCTCGGCAGGGCGGGCGGCGAGCTGAGCCCGGTGGTGCGTTTGGCTTGCAGGTGGCCATCAAAAGGGTGCCACGGAACCGCATCCGGCACTGGGACGAGCTGGTGAGTGAGCGGGGCCAGCGGGAACAGCCGGGCCGTGCCGGGCGGGGATGAGGCGAGGCCCGGCATGGGGGAAGCCACCAGGACCCCTCGATGGGGAGCGGGCGTGGGGCCAGCGCAGGGCACAGAGCATCCCGGGCTGGCTGAGGGGTTCCCCAGCCCTGGCACGACATCAGTCCCACTGGTGGCACCGTGGTCCTCCCACAGCCCGACGGCACCAGCGCACCCCTGGAGATCGTCCTGCTGGACAAGGTGTCCACTGGCTACCCTGGTGTGGTCCAGCTGCTGGAGTGGCTTGAGCTCCCCAACAACATCGTGATGGTGCTGGAGCGGCCGGAGCGGTCTCAGGACCTCCTGCATTTCATTCGGGCACGGAGGTTCCTTTCTGAAGAGGTGGCACGGCAGCTGTTCCGCCAGGTGCTGGAGGCCGTGCGGCACTGCACCAGCCGAGGGGTCCTGCACCGCGACATCAAACCAGAGAACATCCTGGTTGACCTGGCCACTGGCCAGGCAAAGTTGATCGACTTTGGCTGTGGCACCTACCTGCAAGACACAGCCTACACTCACTTTGCAGGTGAGCCTGGGCAGGGGTCTGCTCCCGGTCCCACCATCTCATGGCCCAGCATCTCACAGGCCAAGCTGGGTGTGGCAGCGAGGATCCTCCCTTTTGCTGCCAGTCAGGGTACTGAGTCTTCAGCTGAGTTGCTTTTGAGCAGGGCTGGGTGGGGAGGCATCTTCCAGCCCCACTGGCAGCCTTTGCCCACCACTCTGCCTGGGGCTGGGGTTAGAGCAGCAGCAGCCAGCCTGACAAAAGCACTTGTGCGTGGGGCTAGCAGAGGAGGGGTCCAGGACCAGTGCACCAGCCAGTTTGGTGTGCAGGCGAGAGGAAGGGCTTGGGCTGCTCCACTCACCTTGTTTGTCTTGGCTTCATAATATTTTTGGGGCACTGCAGGCAGGGAGGATAAGGACATGTTTTTTTCCCCCAGCCCTGAGTGGGTTTTTGCTTTGCATGTCATGGTCAGGCCTTGCCGGGGCTTCTGCTGCCCTCTTCCAGCACCAGTGGCTTCTTGTCCAGCCCTGAGTTTGTACACAAGTCCCAGGTGCTGGCGAGAGTGCAGCAGTCGCCCCGTGTGCCACTGGGGCAGCCCCTACACGCCCAGGGATGCTGGGGCCAGGCTCTGGAAGCAGCAGCATCCCCCTGATGAACTCCATCTGTATTCCACAGGAACACTGTCATACAGCCCCCCGGAATGGACCCACTTGGGCTGGTACTACGGAGAGGCAGCAACGATCTGGTCCCTGGGCATCCTGCTGCACCAGATGGTCTGCGGGCAGCACCCTTTCAGGAGGGGCCGGAAGATCAGCTGGGACCATCAGCTCTCGCTGCCACAGCGGCTCTCTCCAGGTGGATCCTCATCTCTGGCCACGGGGGAATACCAGTGCTGGGAGACAGCAGCAGCTCGTGAGCATCTCGCTCTGGCAGCCGCTGAGGAGGTGGCACATGTCCTGCTCTCCTGCTCTCCTCCACAACAGGGAATTGATGGGAAAGTTTAGGCACAGCTCTGAGCACAAAAGCAGCATGGCCTGGGCATGGGAAGAGTGGGGCAAAGCAGACAGGAGCCTTCTCTAGCTGACCGGTGGTTTCTGGTTTCTCTGCCCAGAGTGCCAAGATCTTATCAGGTGGTGTTTATCCATGCACTTCTTGGACAGACCTTCATTAGAAGACCTGTTCTGTGAACCTTGGATACAGGATATTCACCTGCCATAGAAGAAGGGAGAGAGCCACATGCACACTTTGCTCCAGGGCCCTGGTAAGTTACAGGTCCACACATGCCCTGGCAATCAGAAGCAAGGAAACCCAGACTTTTTTCCCTGCCTGTATCAATGCACTGGGATCTTTGGGTGGGAACACACAGCCCTTGTGCTGCAGCTGAGCTGCTCTGCCCAGCACTGGTGGCTGCCATCCGAGCTGGTTTTGCGTGTCCTGCTTCCCTGACAGCTGGGGCCCTGGGCAGAACCCTGACAGCCTGGTCTGACCCCCAGGGAAGGAGAAGGAGCCCCTGGAGAAGCTGTACCAGCTGGGGCTGCTGCTGCTGGAGACAGTGAGGATGACATCAAGGATGACAACCTCTTCCTCAACCTGGCCACTGGCAGCTGAAGATGATGGACTTCTGGCACTGTCTTCAAAGCCTGGCTCCACAGCGAATTCGCAGATGAGTCCACAGCCGGGGAAATGCTCCCAGATTTGGGCATTGCTCAGCCTGGCTGGGAACAAAAGGTTCTCCCTTTGCTGGGGCAGATGCAACTTCAGTCGCTGCCCAGCTGCTTTTTGGCAGGGCTGGGGGCATGGGCTGGGGTGGATACAAGATGGGAGTTGGCTCCTGGCCCTGCCAACAGCCCCCAGCACCCAGCATGGCCTGGGCTGGGGCTGGGGCTGGGGCTGGGGCAGCCAGCCCGGCACAGAGAAACCCCCATGGCGGGAGCAGAGGTGGGACTCCAGAACCTGTGCAGGGGCTGCTTTGCTTTGCAGGCAAGGAAGGGCTTGGGCTGCTCCACTGCCCTTGTTTGCTTTGGGATCACTGTTATTTTGGGGGGCAGTGTAGGAGGGAAGAGAGAAAGTGTGGGCTTCTCTCCCCTTTGGGTGGGATTTTCCCTAGCATGTAGGGGTTGGGCCTTCCTCAGGCCCTTGACAGAGATAAAGAGTTTTTTTCTTGTTTCCCTTTGTCTCTAATCTCTTTTCAACAGTTTGTTGTTTGTTTTTCTAGAGGAAGCGTTCTATGTAAGGTCCAGTCGGGATTGGGAAGTGCCTGGGAGCAGCTGCAGCGTGGATGGGCCGTGCCCTTGGAGAAGGCTGAGGACATCGTTTGGGACCAGCTTTTCTCCCAGCGGAGGATGGCGTGAGGTGAGTCCCCGTCTGCTTGGCATGGTGGGATCAGAGCTTTTGGGAGACAGCAACAAGCACAAGGAGGCTCCTGCTCTGGGCAGCTGCTGAGGGCTGGATGTGCCGTGGCTGGCTGCAGGCTGGGAATGTCCTGCCCTCCTGCTCTGCTCCCAAAGGCAGCAGTGATGGGCAGCTCTGGGCACAGCTCTGGGCACAGCCAGCATGGCCTGGGCTCTGTGGGCAGCTGGGACAAGGGGACAGCAGCCTTCAGCTGACGGGCAGTTTCTGGTTTCTCTCCTTGCAGCCGGGCTCTGCGGGTGCTGAGGCTGCTCTGGGCTCTGCCAGGGCTCTGCTGGGCTCTGCCCCGGGCACAGCTGGGCTGGCTCTGCCCTCACATTGCTCTGACAGCTTTGCATCAGACGAGCCCGTTGGAGCACAGTGCCTGAGCTTTCTGCTTTGGCAGGTGAGTGAGACTCCCCTGCAGGCCAGGAGATTGCAGCTGGGGACACACATCCAATTGGCAAGGACCCAAACTCTTCACTGTCCCAGCTGAACCCCTGAATCTCCGCAGGAACGCCTGGATCTCCACTATTCATTCTTCATTTCTTTTTGGCTGGAATCGTGCAGTTGCACTTTCTTCCTCCTCTAGACGTGCCACGAGTGGCCAAAGCTGGCAAGTGAGCCGTGTTCCTGAGGCAGTGCAGTCTGGAGCTGATGGATGGAGAATTGCCCTTCCCACTTCCAAACCAGAGCAAAAAGCCGTAAGTGGGATTTTTCATCTGTAAGAAACCCCTGACAATTTCAGAGGGAATGTGCAGCTCATTCACAGAGTGAGAAGGAAGGTCATCTTCTAAAAGATTTGGGGTTTGACAGAGTTGAGATTCCCAGTCCTGCCTGGAGCTCGAAGGGCCCCAATCAATTTCCTATTGCTTTGACCACAATTTAAAATAACAATGTTGGAAACAAACCCCAAAAACTGTAAAAAAGGCTGTTGAGGTCAGTAAGATGGATCCATGCCATCAGCACATTTACAATGTAAATAACTGAGTTCTCTTTTTAAAAAGATCATTTACCTCTTAATGCAAAGTTACAGAAGTTGTTTCACTAGCACTTGGATTTTACTTGTATCTTTTACAATTCATCTAATTGTTTGTTTTTTTTTCTTTACCTTTTTTTTTTCTTTAAATAGAGGTCCTGGCCCTCTTCCAGCCAAAGGGGAAAGGGCCCCACCAAGCCTTGTTACCCACAGACAACATGATAAAGCTGAACAATAAAGGACCTTGGAGCATTATACTGTAATTAAAAAGGTGCCAGCTCCATGGACAACAGAATTATTGTTCCTAACTTGAATGAGATTGAGCAAAAAGAATGAAGAACGGTGTCACTAAAGTACTACTGACGTTTGCCAAAACACTTCCAGAGTTTCACCAAGAGATCAGTCATCAAAATGTTTTGGAAATTTAAAGACCAAGGTAGCCAAAGCACTCAGTGTCACTAATTGCTGGGTATGTTCTCAGCTGAAGTTGGGAGGAATGGGGTTCCCTTGGAGGGCCCACCCTGTGGGGTGGCCAGAACTCTGTCAATGGGCTCTGCCTCGTAACGGAGTCAATGAAGGGACAGTTACAGAAACCTGTGCTGTGGGACACGGGAATACAATGATCCGTGTGACAGGATTCACTCAGATTTCCCGTCAGGAGAAACCAAACCCTGTTACAGTTATAGAGGCTACAGTGTCAGAAGATTTCTGTGCTTTACCATCACTCCCAATGTCAATAGAACTTGGGGTGCTGCAGCTGGTCAGTGTCAGTGTCTCACCACTCCCAGCTGCAGGGCCCCCATTTAGGGTCCTTCAGCAACGACCACACTGAAGAGTTAGGGCCCAGAGAACATTTTCCACCCAAAGAGTGCCTTGGGTTTCAGAAAGTAAAAGATTCTGGTTCACCCTGTGCCCCATGTGCGCTGCCCCGTCCCGTGGAGTTTACATGAATGAGCTGACGGGATTATTAGAAGAGGTAGTAAATGATACTGTTAAAATGTCCAATAGCACATTGGATTATTAGAAGAGGTAGCAAATGATACTGTTAAAATGTCCAATAGCACATCCTATGAGCTCCAACAAACACAAATGGGGACTCCAGAGAACCGCATGGCCTTGGATTATCTGCTTGCTGGCCAAGGAGGAACCTGGGCTATCAGGAGACGGGGATGTTGCACTGCTAGCAGTGATGGGTTTGAAGGCCAACAGTCAGGAATCACCTTGACAGAAAGAGCAGTAGAAGAGTGGCAGAAAGAAGAAAATTCTTCTTGGTGGGATTGGCTTCGTGGCTGCCAAATTAGAGGCTGCTGTGAAATGCATTCGTGGCAGTGCCTGTCATCATTGCAGTGTGTGCACTTGGTGAGTTGCTGTGACACTTTGTGCTGGGAAGTGGAGTATTGGGACCTTTCTTAAAAGAGACAGTCTCAAGAAAAGAGAGGCATTTGATAAATAACAGAGAATAGAAACTATTAAGGCATGTTTTAAAAGGAACGTGAATAGCTCTGAGTAATGAACTTAAACTGCACTTAATTGTAGAACAAGAGGAGATGCCTTTATGCCTAATACCTAAATCTAAGCTGTGTTACTGAAAGAATTGTTACAAAGGTTGTAGTTGATTGTAGGTCTCAGGACCGATCAAAGTACCAAGGCCTGAACAGGTTGTGATCAAGGCCTGAACAGGCCCTGAGGCAAAGCTCACCTCTAGATGAACCTCCCAAGCAAATGTTGTATTTGTATCCACTCACTAACGAAGCATGATTAACAACATGATCAATGTATGTGTTCCTTGATAAAACATGGATTTATATTTCTGTATTTAGAAACAGACAAGGCCCCACCTGGCCTTGTTTGGGGGTGAAGGATCAAAGTCAACTCCCTTGGTTCCTCCTTCAGCCCTGGCCAGGCTTTGGGAGAAAGCAGTCAGGAGAATGAAAGCAGATGTTCTCGCAGTGGCAGTGATGCCAGCTTGTTTGTTTAACAGTGTAAAAGCTGGGTCCTCTCACAGCTTTGGGCTTGGAGCCTCATTGCTTGCAGAGGTGGAGGCACCTGCAGGAATTCCCAGTGTCTGGGAGTGGCTCTCCAGTCCTTGGCTTCCCCCAGCTGATGTGTGGCTGTGGATGATGGTAAAGCCTGAGGCTAACTGGTGATGGATCTTTCCTTAATCACTCCAGGCAATCTCTGGTAGCAATGACTGGATGCATTGCTGAGCTTCTTTTGTAATGCTTTGCTAATGATGATGTGCTTTGCTGAGCTTATCCTTTTGTAATTCTTTGCAGCTGTGCATGATATAAATGACACAATTCCTTCAGTTGGTGTCTGTCTTTGGTGCTGACCCTGCCCACTGGTGAAACAGGGCCCCCTCCAGCCTAAGTGTTACCTAGGAAGAGAAAAGCCATCACTCCAAATGTCCCCCCTTCCTCCTTGTTCCCCCCACTTTATACCCTGAGCGTGATGCCCTATGGTCTGGGGTATCCCCGGGGTCAGTGGGGGTCACCTGTCCTGGCTGTGTCCCCTCCCAAGCTCCCCCGCAGCCCCAGCCCCTCTCCAGCGTGGCCAGAGGAGGGGCAGGCCAGGCTTTGGCTCAGTGGGAGCTCAGCAAGAACAAAAGCATCTCTGTGTGCCCAGCCCTGTGCTCAGCACCCGGCCCAGCAGCAGCGTCTCAGTGCCAGGGTCTGTGCCATCAGTCCCTGCCAGGGGTTTCCATGGCACCTGCCAGGCCAGGTGACCCAGGTGTGGTGTCCCAGTGAGGGCTGCCATGCAAACAGTGCCCAGCACTGCCCCTTTCTGTCTGCCTGACCTGGCCTTGGCCCTGGCCCTGCTGTTTGCTGCAGGTTCCGCGGCGCCTGACCGGCCCGCGCGGCACAGGGCAGGCGGCCACGGCACAGACCCACAGCAAGGGCTCCCCTCTGGCTCTGGGCAGTGACACCAGCCCTGAGCAATGGGCTGGCGCACTGGGGTCAGTGCGGTGTCCATGGCAGCAGTCCCTTGCAATGCCCAGTGCAGGTTGGGATGATGATCCACCCTCACAGCCGGCCCAGGGCAGGTGTGCGGTGCCCTTCCCCACAGCCTGTCTGCACAGAAGCACTTCCAGGGCTCTCTGCATTTCCCTTCCTTCACTCTTGAGTCACTCACACACCTCCCAACGACCCACTGGGAGCTTTGAGCTGCAAGGAGTGCAAAGCTGGTCTGTCCTTCAGGAGTTGCTCTAATTATGCCCTGAGCCAACTCTGCATTTGTGTTCATTGCAGATCTTCCTGTGTGTCTACATCATTCCTTGCAGGGCTCTGCCTTGGGGAAGGGGAACCTCATTGGAGGTACCTAGGGCTTGGCACACACTTGAGGAGTGTGTCTGTTTTAAATGGGGAAGCTTAGGAGTTTTAGATTGCTTCAAAAAATAAAAGAAGAAAACCCCTCTTTGCCTGAGCGCAGCCAGTTCTCCAAGCACAGCAGGTCCCAGGTGACTGAGCAGAGACAGGACGGGCTTGGGCTATGTGGGGCAAGGTTGTCCACACTGCCTCAGACCTCCAGGCACAGCTTCTCTGACTAGGCCAGACATCCTCAGGAGAGTCCCTGGGCCAATATCAGTCGCTGAATGCTGCAGTCACCTCTGCTCTAAATAGAACAGTCATAAAATATACTCTTCAAAGAGGAATGTGGATTTATTGGAAGCTCTTGCAAATAGTTTTCCATCAGTATTGTAGGAAACCTTCCTAATGGACTGCACTAGAGCAGAGGGAAATCAGGGCAGAGCCATGGTTTGTCAGGACTTGCTTGATCCCAATGAGCCCCGTGGTGCATTTAGAGCTGAGCCCTGGAAGCTCAGGGCCTGAGAGGAGATTGCGCCAACCTAACCAGGAGTCAAAATCCGAGGAAAAACCCAAAGTGTCTCAAAGCATGAATGGGTCCCCTGAGGTCCATCCACACAGACCCCTCATGGACTTGTTGGAGGAGAGAATTGGAGGCCAGGATGGCACAAACCTCTCAGAGACTCAGTGTGGGAAGGAAAAAGGGAATTACTTTAAAAGAACTGCAGTACCTTGAAGCATTAATGAGCCCCACTGAGTGTTGTTACTGACAAAGAATCTCCAGGGACTAATTCCAGCAGATAATTGCAGGCCATGATTGCACAAACCTCTCAGGACTCCAAGGCAAAAGCCCAAGTCCTTTGAAGAACCTGCCGTCCCTGGGAGCATGAAGGAGGGCCCAGGGCCATTCCTGACCAAGGCTCCCCAGGGCCTCTTCCCAGCAGCTCCCTGAGGCCAGGAGTGCAGGGAGGCAGAGGCTCTGTGTAGGCAGCTCAGCTGCTGAGCAGAGCCTGGGCTGGCTGGAGGCAGCAGAAAGGCCAAGGCCTGAGCCCCAGCCCCAGGGAAGGCAGATCCTGTCCCTCCCCGCCTGCTCAGGGCTCTGCCGGGAGCACTGGCATAGGGAGGGATGCTGAGGGCAGGACAAGGGATGACAGTGCCCAGCCTGGCTGGGGCTGTGCCAGGAGGCCCCAGTGCCTCAGGACAAGGTGTCTCCTCCTCACAGCCCTTGGTGGCAAGACGCTGCTGTGCCCCAGGGCACCAAGGCCTGGCTTCTCCTGGCCACTGCCAGCCTTGCCAGGGCCCTTGGCCATGTCCAGCACAGCTTGTCCTGCGCTGTCCCACAGCTGCTGCTGTGTCCCTGCAGGCTGCACACTCCCATCTCGCTGCCCCCCGGGCCCTGCCCTGCCATTGCCAGCCCTGCCCTGCCCCTGCCATGCCCAGGGCATGTCTGCAATTCCCCCAGGCAATGGGTGGGGATGGGCAAGTGTTCCTGAGGGCACAGGGAGGGGACAGCTGGGCTGGACTGACCCAAGGGATCTCCCATTCCATGCAATGTCATGGTCAGCAATAAACTGAGGGAAAGGAAGGGCATAGGGCTGGCAGGGAGGGCTGTGGATGTTTTCTACCAAGACATTTCTCATACAAAACACAAAGTACATGTTCTTTATCCCTTCCTGCCAGGAGGTGGCTGGACATTGTCTGCTGATGGGAATCAGCAATAGAGGATTGATCTCATTTGTTGTTTCTTTGCTTCCACCTGTGGCCTTTGCCTTTTGAGGCCCTTGCTGAGGAGGGTGTAGAAGCCCAGAAGATCAGGACCTGGTTTGCATGTCCCAAACATCAAAAACTGGATGGCTGTGGGACCAACCAAGGATTGGTAAGAACAGCCAAGACTTCTTGGCAATAACACATTTTGAGGAAGAACAGGCTGTGTCTGCAGAAGGGGCCATGCAGATAAAGGCAGAACTTTTCCAGGACAAACATCCTTGCTCTGGCTCCTGGGCATAAGCACGACATGGCCCAAGTGCAGGAATGAGAAGTGGGCATGGACTGTGGGGGGATCAACACCACCAAAGACCCCCAAAGCCTCTGAGCCATTTAGAGAAAGGTTCAGCAGAACAAACAGCACATGATAAGTCATTTGCACAGAAAGTGAGACACTTATCGCCAGGGCAGGAAAAAGTGATCAGTGAAGAGGTCCTCCCACCAAGGCCAGGCACATTTGTGCCCCAGCACCCTGGACATCCCATTGGCTGGATCAATGCTGAAACCAGGACTGGGGATCTCTTCTTCTCTCTCTCTTGTTTTCTCTCTGCTCCTCTGATTCACGTCTGTCTCTGTCTCTCTTGTCTCTGTCTCTCCTCTCTTTCACCTTTCCTCTTGTGCCTTTGTACAAAACCTACTGACATGCCCTTTTATAGCTCAGGGACTGACATCCCAATTTCTATGCTAAATGCATAATGAATTAATAAAACTTTATAGGCCTTTGTGGACTCTCTGAGCTTTTTAATTTCTTTCAGCCACAAGCATCTACAAAACTTGGGTGTTTCCTTTGCCTTAAGTTTGGGAGATCACAGAGAGAGAGGGAGAAAGAGGCCCCTGATGGCCTCACACATTTAACCCGCCAGTGTCGTTTTGCTCAGCTTTTCTCTAGCAGGCAGCATTAACCAGATGCAGCTGCGCAAGGGTTTCCAGAAATTTGGCATCATCCACAAAGGACTTGGAAGTGCATTTTGTCCCATGGCACAGGGAATATATGAATATTCCATTGTAGTCAAGGGCTGGTCACTGCGGGATGTTACCCGGGCGTGGCTGCCAAGAGGACTCTGTTCCATGAACGACATTTGACCCTCATTGTTCAGCCAAATTCCCACTCACCCCATGTTCCATTCCTTCAGCCCATCTTTCTCCAATCTGGCTCTGAGGAGAGCCAGCAGACCATGTCACAGACCCTGCTAAGGTCTGGGCAAACAACATCCCCTTCTTTTCCCTGCCACGTGTGTTCTGCAGTCCCTGCCCTGTGCTGCCAGTGCCTGGAATGGCTGCAGGAGGATTTGCCACATCCCCTTCCCTGCTGAGCCTGACCAGTCTGTGACTGTCCCCATCCCCTCCCTGCCCTGTTTGCAGACTGGTTCTATGTGTGCCCTTCCCAAGTGCCCAGGACCCTCTGGGATGGCTCTGGCCTTTCCAGGGGCTTTGAGAGAGGTCTCACCGTGACACTGCCCAGCCTTCTCAACATCCCTGACACCAAAGGCCTCTGCCACATCCCTCAGTTCCAGGTCAGTGCCCAGGGCACAGCACGGCCCTGTCCAGGTCCTCAGGGTGCTTCAGAAGGGAGGCAGCTGTGACTTCTCCCTGCAGACCCACCACTCTCATGTCCCTCTGGGCAGTCCGTGGCTGTCCTGAGCATTTCCCCTGGAGCCTCCCTGTCCTGGATGTTTCTCTCCATGCAGCCCTCAGCACATTGCAGCAAAGAATTCAGGTGGTTTCCCAGGGGATGTTACTCTCCGAGCTGTGAGAAGCGACATTCACTTTTAAGGATTTTAAAGGTTTACTAAAAACTTTAACAAAATACAACAAAGGACTGAATAAGGAAAAAGGACGGTGCAATGCTGGGAGTTTGCAACCCCTCAGCCATGAGCTCATCTATAAATTGGCTGCTCCGCTTTTTGTACCCCTGGGGGTTGCCTCAGGCAGCCCTGGCCCCTCCCAAGGTCTGTCAGTGGACTCTTCTTTGCCGTTCATCCGTGGAGGTTTCTTTCTTGCCACTTGATTGGAGGTGAGGTGTTGTCATGCTGCACTTCCTAGTAGCAAGCTTGCCCTTTTCTCAAATGTTTTATGCAAAGGCACAGGTACACACCCTCCTTCCTCAGGCCTGGACTACTAAAGCCCTCTCTTGGCAACTGCATGGGCTGGGGAAGATGAACTATGGGGAGAACAGAGGACATCTAAACAACAAATCACAATAACACAACTATAAGTCAATATACTTTCCTTAACATACATATAATATTTATCTCTGAATTGAGAGAGCCAACCATTGCAATAGGCATTTATAACAGAGTGAAGTGGCCTCAAGGCACTGTTTGTGCCACTGGAATTGTGCTACCCCCAAGTGCTGATGATGGTTGTGATAGTAAAAGGGTTTTAAAATCATGGGGATTTAGGGTTAAAAGGAAAATTAAGCTTAGTAAGCCCTGAAAAAAAAAATACCCTAGGTACATATAGGCCTTGTACCTTGCTAGAACTGCACCTGTGTAGCTAGTACATGATAAATGATATACTTGTTAGATGTGATGATTGTTTAGTAATTAAATATAATTACTGTTTATTTGTAAGAATAATCATGAGAAAGTGTGGTCAGGGGCCTCAGAAAGATCACGAGAAACTCATGCTTGAATAAAGTCAATGTATACAATAGAACAATATAAGTTTAATAATTAATATGTAAGTTATATAACGATAGAATACAAAATACGTTCAGCTCAAAAGTCATGTCGGAGTCAGATTTGGGTCTGTACCCCTGATTCCCAGAGCTCTCAATAAAAGCACCTGCTTATAATCATATCCCGTGATTATGTGTGTTCCTGAATGCTAACACTCTGTTCTATGGTCCTTATCAAGTCCCCCTTTTTCTTGAGACAAACTTCCGTATGGGGAACTAGTTTCTTAATACCTATATTTCATTTTGCAGCAAAGGAAAACTTTGTTTTCTAACATGTTTTCTAACATGTCTTCTTCTGCACTCTCGTTGGCTAAATGTTTCCCCAATTCCAGTTTGGTCTTATCCACTTGGTGTGCTCTGCAATGCCTGATGGCAACTTCCTCTGGTTTCTGGATACTTTCAAGTAAACCCAAGATTTGTTCTCCGTTTTTGATCGGAGCTTTGATATGTCAAAAGGTCTCTTTCTTTCCAGAAGTCCCATGTGCATGTACCACTCCAAAGGCATATTCTGAATAAGTTCAAATGTAAACTCCTTTTCCTCTACTCAGTTCCAAAGCTCAAGTGACTGAAATTAGTTCTACTTTCTGGGCTGAAACATCAGAGGGGAGTGCCCCCAGTTCCATTATATTGGCTTGTGGAGTCACTGCGTATCCAGATATTTGGACAGGAAGGTTAGGGGCTTGGTGCTCTGACAGACCAGCTGCTCCTGCTGCCTGCTCTGCCTTTGGCATCTGCTCTGCTGAGGGTATGGCAGCTGCAGCAGGATTTCCTGTGGGAAGAGGTGCCACTGCTGACATAGCCCTCGGACTCCAGGGGCCCGTGGCTGTGCCCTCCAGCACAGGGGTGTCACCCACAGCGGGGCACGAGGGGACGGTGAAGGGCATTAGAAGGGAGAGAAACCAGCATCTAGGGACTATGTGAGGGAAATAACAATTTATTTCCTTTTCCTTGGATAAAGAATTGCAAGAGCCCTGCTAGAGCTGCTGGGGGATTGGCCTCTTGCTGAGGCCCCTCCTCTTTTTGGGACACCATGTCCCCCCCGGGCAAGGGGCCCCTGTTCCAGCCAGGAGCAGAGGTGCTGTGCCTTCTGCCCTGGGCAGAGAGGCCTGCTACTGTCACCACCTCTTGCCACAGGTCCTCCTGATACTGGTCCTGCCCTGCAGGGATGGGCACAGGTGGGGAGTGGCAGTGAAACCCAGGGCAGGGGCTTTAACATTGACTGCTCTCAATGAGTTGTCGAGAAAATACAGTTTTACTTTTTCTGCCAACCAAGGCTGTCAGTGTTTTTGTGTTTGTATTAATGAGAAAGGTTAGGGTTAGGCTAGAGTGTGGGTTTAGGGTTAGGTTAGGGTGTGGGTTTAGGCTTAGGGTTAGGTTAGAGTGTGGGTTTGTGGTTTAATGGAGAGCAAAGTGGTGTCTGAATTCAATTGATTTAAATTTTTTCTTTCATGATGTTTTGTCTGTGAAAAGTCTGAAAATCAAGGACATCTTTTTGGAATCTGCTATCTTTGCCCTTGATACTAGCTGAGTGATCCTTCAAAACTAAGTGAAAGCATGAACTCTTTTGGCCATTTTTTAGAGGGAGAAAAAAACAAACCCAAACCTGTTTTCTGAATCCTCGGAAAATCTGACTTATCCAAAAAAACATTATTAGGAATGTATCGATTTTCTGTTCATCATTCATTCAGACACCTGTGAAACCAGATCAGTAATGCTCTCTTTAATGATTTAACACAGCTGATTGCCATTAAATCACTTGAAATTATGGCCTCAACTTTCAATGATATTTTGAAAATGAGACTTTCCATTTCAGGGAGGAACAGAATGCATTTGCACAGTTCCATTATGGGTGGATTTTTTTTCAACACACAGATTCTCTCATTTCCCCTTCTTTAGCCTTAAGCATTAAAGTCAATCATCTGCTTTGGAAATGCAACTCACATGTAACTCTTTCTACTATTTTGCTTACCTTATTTTTAAAGGCTGAAAATATTCAGTTGTAATTTGCTTTATAGAATTCTTTGTCACTGTGGGACTGGAAAAAGATCACAGAAATTTCTCCCATCATAGATTTTAAAATATTTTAAAATGTTATTATAAAGATTATTTATCAATATTTAATTTTTGCTTTCTGTGTAACTTTATTAAATCTGTACTTTAAAACAAGCATTACCTAGCAGGCTTTCAGTTCAATTACAGCAATCCCTCCCATCAGAGGGGGGCCAGAAGAAGGACTGAGGGATTAATCCAAACTCACCTCCCCCCCAACAGGGGCTGGCCCGCTGCAGGATGGTGCAGGGCCATTGGGGGAGGGGAGGGGCTGGCAATGAAACGTGGGCGGAAGAGAAGGGTTACGGCGGGAAAATGGGGTCCCTGTAGCGTGGCCAGTGCCATCTTGGGAGGGGGTGCTGGGTGCACTGCATCTCGCCCGGGGAGGCACGGCCAATGCCACCCCTAAGGGAGGATAACAGTGTCCGGCAGGGCGCTTGGGGCGGCTCGGCCGCTGCCATCCCCAAGGGAGAAGGTTTGGGGAATCTGCGGGGAAAAAGGAAGGGGGGGCTTCGCAGAAGCCGAGAGGGAAATCTACAGGAGAGGGGCCCAACGCGGCTGGAAGCCGACGAAATGCGTGGATGTGAAGGGCCTCTCTTAGCATGTTAA